TTACCTTGTTACATGTGAACGAGGCAGCCAAAATCCATTGGTCTTTTGAGAAACAGGCTGTACAGATGCTTAGAGTGTTTCTGTTTGGGCTGACCTGCCATCAACCTGAGAATAAGGCAAACTGTCCTCTGTAGGTAAAAACGAAGAGCCTTGTCCTATTTCTACGCTTTCATTGTATGTATCACCCTGTGCAGCTCTCTGCTGTCCCAGGATTATGCACCCAAATATTATTGATAGGAACCAGTCACACTTATGCTCACTCAAGGGTTTCAGCAGGAACGATGCAGAATAGCAATATATTTGCTCATATATATCCTTCCTTGCTTCAGACGAGTTATGAGGTTGAGAGCAGTAATTAATATATTTCTTACTTGAATGCACTGTACTGATAGACAAGATTCAACAGTCTGGGATCTCTAGGGATAAACACCCATGAAGTGGACATTAAAAAATCCATAAGGGTTTTGAGGGAAATATTTTTAATTTGGTTTTGAAATAATATATGTCCAAGAAACTCAAGACCCCTCTTTCCCATTTGTTTTGATATTATTCCTAGGACACAAGAGCTACCTAATTAGCTGTGAAGTTACCACAGAATAATAAAGGATAACTGAATATAATGAAAAATAAAAAATAAATAAGTAAAATTAGCTTAATAATCTTTAAATAAATAAATAAACGATAACTGGTTTCCCTTTACATTGACTGAAAAGTGGTACTTTCTAACTAAATGAATGGAGCTGGGGAACAAATGATTTCCGAGTCCCTCCAGAATTTCATAAATGTCCATTTATGAAGTATAACGTACAAACAATAAAACCTTTTTCACTCTTCATTAAAGCAATCAGGTCCCTGACATTTGATGACCAGTTCAGGTTATCACATAGTCTTGGTGCAAATATATTTTCATATTTCTGTAACGATGTCCTAAATCAGCAGAGAACCTGATACATGAAAATTCCTATTTAGACAAAAAAATAGTTTGGAGGCTGTGCTTATTTGCTTCTCAAAAAAATTCAGTTATCAAGGTCTCCTCTAGTGAGCCATATCTGATTAAGAACTGTCCTTCTTCCTCCATGTTGTCTGAATTTGTGATGTTTTATAGAACTTGGCTCAGCTGTCCCTCTCCCAAAGGGGAGAACATATTGTTAATGTTCTAAAGGCAGGAGGTTTGTGTTAAGCCTGTCTCAGCAGCTTCAATATATAGATGGGAAAATCCAGTGAAATCCAGTTCCAAAACGTAGCAAGTCCTCACAATTTGAGCAAACACATTGAAGAAGAGACCATGAAACAGGTAAACAGCCTGATCAGAAGTGTGGCTTGGGAGGTGGGGGAGGGGCAACAGGGAGAGCACAGGTAGAACTTGCCTTCCACTGAACACCTTCCCCCAAAGTGAAGTCTTTTCATTATTTTAGTGGCAACAGGTTGACAGCACCTTGTTGCGCCTTTAATGGAATGATGTCAAAGAAAGCCAGGTGAGGACAAAGATGGTGAGACACATGAGGAAGGTGGTGGGGGGGACTGTATTCATGTGCTCATTCCCACTCCCATAGCAACCCAAAGCCAGCTGCCTTGTTGGAGAGACTGTTCCCCTGGACATTCTGGGGTGACTTTGCCTCTGTCTGTGATGCATAATCCTTTCGGATGAAATGCCATTCTGCTGCAGGCACACTGGGAAACTTGGCAGCACTGGCCAGAGATGGGATGGTCTGCTCTGGGACAGGAGCAGGAGCAAAGTTCAAGAAAGGCAAGATGATGACTTGACAGCGGAAGATGGAAAGGAGAAGAATTCAAGAGAATTCAGGCATTGAATAGGTGTTTGACCCAGAAAACCATGAAGTTTCCTTCAAACCCTGAGATTCTACAAGTCTATATATTAATAGGTCTAATGGAAGGAGTATTAACTCATGTATGAGAAACAATTTACACACAAAAAACAAAAGGGAAAGCAAAAAATCTCTTTCTACTCCCCATAGAGTAGGACATGGCTAAACTATCTTAAAGTGGTCATTTGACTTAGTTGGGGATGCATTTCCATTTAAAAATGATTAGAAGATGAAACAAAAATATAATCTCTGGTTACAAATATTAAATGGGTATGGATGCAGAACGATGGGTCAGCCGTTAAGATTGGCCAGTGCAGTGCCTCTGTTGCTCAAATGAAATTCAATTACATTTATGATGGAAATCTCCATGAATCCACACTAAGTCTGTCCACAGGGTCTGCCCTCTCCAACATTTTTCTGTGTGTGCGTGCATGCGCGCGTGTGCGTGCAACTTTGCTACTAATGGAGCATATTTGCTTTGACTGTGGAGCCCCTTCCAGACATCAAAAGCCACAATTCTAGTTTTCATACTTAGAAAATGCTCAAAATGTGTTTCTTTCTAGGGGAACTAAATATTGTGCCACGTTTGAGAGTCAAGCCCTTTGAAGCCCATCAACTGTTGCTTGAAACCTCCTGATTCTATCTTTGTAGGATCTTTGTCTCGTATTTTCTGAAAGGCCTTGAGCTCTTGCATGAACATTCTTCTCGTGGCAATTTTAACACAGCTGAACGCTCTCATCTGTGTGGCAGGCAGCACCCATGATAATATACATCATTACATTAATAGTGTTCCCATACAAAAGTTCTTTTCCAGGACTTGTTCGCTGGCTACCCCACTGTGGAATCAGAGGGTGGGATACTTTTGATTTTAAACACAAGGAAAGGGACAGTGGGAGCCAGGCTTTTAGTGATGGAGCCTTTTGGGGCCCAAGGGGAACTGTTTACATCTCGTGCAGGAGAACACTGTGTGACATCACTGTCCACACAGAGCTCCCACCAAGATTAAAAACCACATAGAAGGCAAAATAATTTACTAAAACGTAGACCAAGAGCACTCTCTTTAAGAAATAGTATGCGCAGGGGGGAAAGCTGAAGGAGCCAAAGGGAAAACTCGTGTGTAAGCTGCTTATCTGCTGTTCTTAGCAAGGTGAGCAGATCCAGGCAGCACTCTGTGGGACATTGTGGCCTCTCTCTGCTTCACGCTCTGGAATTATTTTTTTTTTCCATTTTTTTCATGCTGTCTCTGTAACACAACCTCTTTACATAGTTTATCTCAGGAAATGACAATTGGCTGTCGAATCCCATACAAATTGATTAGATATGACAGCTCAAAGGAATAAATATTCTGCAGAGAAGAAAGTTTTTACTTATACTCTTGTATTTTCAATCCTTTTTTACCCCTTCTTGCTTAATTTTATTATTTCAATTAGATCATTTAAAAATCAACACATCACATACCAACCTCCCCTAAGAGCAATCATAAGATTTGATGATTTTTCTGATACACAGGCTAGGGTTTCAAATTTGCATTATTTTATCTACTGAATTAACTATGAATTCTAAACCAAACTAATGCTGCCATGTGTTTTTAAACATCTCTAATCTAAACCATCTGGAGAGGCATGGTTTTGCAAAGGCATCCTTTTCAGGACACTCTGTGGATTTTGTCACTGCTTGAGGTTTTGGCAAACCATCAACATTACTATAATTCTCTTTTATGAAATATAGCTTTTGACTAGGATTTTAGAGTCTTGTGTGTGTGTGTATTTATACGAGTGTGGGCACTTGTGTACAATTTTTGCTCTTGTCCTTTTCTCTTTTCAGAAGACCATAGTTACAATAAACTTATTTTTTTAAAACTTAAAGTAATAAAGGTTTTTTCTTGTATATAAAGGATAAATTTAATTTCACCTACTCAACATAATGACAGACCAAGTTATTAAGAAGTGGAGAAGTACTTTTGAATAACGCACCTTACCGGACGTAGGTGCTGGAAATGCTTTTTAAACAAGTCATCAGGAGAAAACATGTCAGCTTGAGAGACCACAACAAAAAATTATAGATATGAAATGATTACAGCAACAATGATTTGTGGTATGTGAGGTATGAGCTCAATACATTTATGCAGAGATTACAATTAAAAAATGGCTGAGCTAAATCTTTTGCTTAAGAAAAGCAACACCCTGTTTAATTCTTTGGCTAATAATGAACATAGCATTTTAAAATTATAAATCAAATATAAGCATGGTAAAAGCAAAGTGTAGTAGACTACTTGTTATAACAAAGGTTAAAAAACATCCCCCAGAAGTAAGGATGATGATTCTACTTCCACAAATTCTCTTCAATAATAATGCCTTTAAGGAATTTTGAGAATTAATCACAAAAATGGAAGGGATAGCTTTTTGCTGAGAGCCACTAATCTGAACTGAATTAAAATGATAATGTGACTATTGGGGACTATGAACATCTCTGTAATTTCTTAATAACATGGTATGTTCAAACAACCTCTTTCATCCAACAATATTAGGCAACTTAAAGACATACATAAATCAAAAGGTTTTGGTCAAGTTTGCGGAGGGGGAGATAAAAGGTCTATTTTTAAGAAACAGCTGGCCTGAAGTCCAGAAGTGGGTCTGTGCTTAGAATATAAAGATGCCAAGACATTGCACAGCACCCCTCACAGAGGTGGTCCAGCCTAGAACACTCTCGGTGGGTGCTAACGTGGCCTGGGGCATTACTACAGCCCACCTTCCCACTGTTCATGGTTTCCCTTCCTGGAATGGGTCCTCCATATCCACAACTCTGAGGGAGAGGGTTGCCCTTCTGAGACTTTCTCGTTTTCTTTTTCTTTTCTTTCCTTCTTTCCTTCCTTTCTCCCTTAGAACTCCTGATATTCTTTTAAACCTGCTTCTGCCTATATTAAAATGTTGTATTATAAAGGAAAAGCACAATCTGATATTCCAGAGAATGGAAGCTCCGTGTAGGGTGGCCCTGGATCATATGTCTTCAGGAGGGACAGCTCTTACCAGGCATGCTAATCTGGTCTTGGATGAAAGTAAAACATGTGTCAATCCCATCTTCCTTATTACTCTTGCCCCAGGGTCTACAGAGTGGGTTCAGTTCACTTATTGCTATAGGCTGAATTGTATCTCCCCCTTTTTTTTTTTTTTTTTTACTTGTGGCAAGAATTACTATCAAACTCCACTCATTGGACCAGAGACCCTTGCGTTGTTAGCGAAAGATGTGCTCCTCATATAGCACACTACCTCCACTTGTGAGTTCATCGGCCAGCCAGTGGCCTCAACTCCAAGCTCTAACAATGTGCAGATCCCTCACAAATTTATGTTGCAGCCCTACCCCTCAATGTGTTTTTATTTGGAGATTGGGCCTTTGGCAGGTAATCAGCTTTAGATAAGGTCATGAGGGTGGACCCTCATGATGCTATTAGACACCAGAAGAGCTTGCTCTCTTTCTCCCTCTCTCTGCCAGGTGAGGACATATCTAGAAGGCAGGTGTCTATAAACCAGGAAGAGAGTCCTCACCAGAAACCAAAATGGCTGGCACCTTGATCTCGGACCTACCAGTCTCCAGAATGGTAGGAAAGTTATTTTCAGTTGTTTAGGCCACCCAGTCTATGGCATTTTTTTTTTTTTTTTTTTGTGGCAGCCTCAGGAGACTGATACACCTTTATAATCTCTTTTATCCTGACAATAATCCTAAGAGGGCAGTAGAAACCCACTCCCTAAGAATACCCATTCCCCTGACACTGAGGCTTCTCTGACCTCAGTGAATGGCTAGGTGGCAGAGTGGTGAGGACAAGGGGAGGGACGGGCTAGAAAACTTGCTCATATTGCCACCTGGCTCTCATTGCATAGCATCTGTAATTCCTAGGGCAATTCCCTGATGAAGCACAACTGGAGAGAGCCCATTTCAGATAGCTTTAGTTCAGGGCATGGGAAAGGGAGGAAGGGCACTTAGGGAACTGAGTCAAACCTTCAGTGTTGGAGTCCTGTGCCTTCAGTAATATGTGCACAGGAATGGGGCAGAGCAAACGCTAGGAAGTCTCGGGTTTTGTAATCACATTAAACTTCAGGTTGATCACTTGCAATATGAGATAATAAGACAAAGAAAGCAATTAAAAAATGATTTGTTCTAAGGTGTATTCTCATGGTATCCTCTGCATCACACAGCTCACTCGGTCACTTGTAAGGTATACAGTCTCCCCCACTGCTATTTTCAGATAATGAATTGTCTGTGATACAATCCGTCTGCTATAATCCTGCTGATAATTCTAATTTCCCTAGATGAATCCCAATGATCAGTCCTGCCTGTGCTATTTTTTGGGGGAGAAGATTTCATAAAGAGGGCAGATAAAGAATGAGAGTCGGCAAGGCATTTTCTCTGCTCCCAGCTTCCTGGGCCAAAAGAGAAAAATAAGCTCCTGCTGTTTGACTTAATAAGAATCAGTGTCTAGCTCAAGCCTCAATCATCAGACCAGTCATACTCAATCGGCATAAAAGAAGTATTTCCAAATGTCCATGTTTCGCTTCAGCATGCACGTGTAAGCCTTTTCCTAAAGGCACAAACTAGCTGCCGTGTTGCGGTTCCTCTTGTCTGATCCAAATATGCTGTATCTTTTATGTAAGAGCTTAATTTTACACATTTACATCATATGTATTCTTCAGTTTTCCAAAACTGTCTACTTCGAAGAGTGGTCACAATCTATACAACAATGGATGAGGTGTTCTCTTCTGGGTTTCTCCAGCCTGCAGTACATCCATCATCACAATGAAAACTGTTTGGGTTTTACTTACATTAGTTAGCATGTTCTTTGTGCATGGACTTTGCTCTCTAATTACTAAGCTCCTATCGTATGCTTCGATTTTGGGTCACCCCAGGAACTCACTCTGAATATGTAGCCTTAGTTGTCAAAGAACTTTCTATTCCTTCATCCTGTTAACCTTAAAAGTAAAAGCTGCCAGTGACTTTACCAGCAAAATATGGGTTTATTCAGGAATAAAAGAGAATTTCAATCCAAGACAAGCAAGCTGCAGCAAAACCATAGGCAAATAAGGGGAGGTGGGGGGGAAGGAGAGGCATGCTTTTTAAGGAGAAAAGGGGTAAGCTGGGAGGGCTGTTATCAACTAAAGTCCACTGGACTAACCTGGGAGTTCCAAGTAGGTGGTTTTTCATTGGCTGAGCTGTTGCCTGTAGGGGGATGAGGAAAGTGCTTCTTCCTCCGGCTGGATTAATAGAGCAGTATCCATGTGCAAGGTCAAGTCCCTGCAATGTCATGTCCCTCTCTTCCTGTTGGGTCTGCAACTGACTAGGGGCAGTAGGGTGTGAGAGCTCCCCCTGCCGAAACCTCCTGATTCCATTTTAGTGAGGTTTCCCGTTATTAATTTTCATAATCCCCTCCTCTTTTTGACTTCTACTGAATAACCACTCTTTGCTACATTCAAGAGAAAAACATAGAAAATGCCTTTTCTCTTTTCTTTTTTCTTTTCTTTTCATTAGTCAGGCAATCTGAAAGTTACCCTTCCTTTAAGTAAAATAAAAATTCCTAAGAAAAATTCTAATACTTCTCTGGTCATAATACTCCTTGGAAAATGTATTTAAATTAATTTATATCTTTGTGTCCATAGCTGTTTTGTTGATTTGGATTATGGAACACAGTTTGGGTTGTGTGTGTGGGGGGGCGGGGGGCGGGACAAAAACTGATGGGAGAAGAAATCAAGTTCATGGCAACCAACCTCATAGTCCCACCGAGATGGCAGGAAGTCTCTTTTCCACAACATGACAACAAAGCCCCGGCAACTCCCCCAGGTGACTCAGCAGTGTGGGCAGCTAGATGCCAAGTCCCGACTCTCCGTCCCCCTCCTAACCGCCAGCCCACATTCCCTCCTGTGTTACCACCCCTCTTCATGGGGGCAGCTCTCTTCAAGGTCATTGGGAACCTCACCCAGAACCAAACACTAGATGGTGAAAGCGTGAGTTGCAATTTCATCTGTACCCTTTATAGAATCTTAATGAGAAGCGAAACCACGCATAGGAAGAAAGTTAACTGAGGATTTTAAACATGGATGCACATGCAATCAGTCAGTATCACTCCACATTCTGCTTTCCCTCTGAAATCAGGAGGGTTTCAGGTCCTTGTCAGTTTCAGGTCATTGTCAAATCATCTTTAAAAAGAGAAGGCTAAGAACAAAGAAACCAGATCAGGAAAAAATAAAAGTAAAAATAAAAACCTCTGACCAAGCCAAGCCTCTAAATATAGCTTTTCCACTTACTTCAATGCAGATAATTCTAAGATCTATATTTCTGATTCTGTTCATTCCATTTGAAAGAGAAAGACCACACGAAGGTAAGCACTGCAGGGTGGTCAGAATGCACAATCTAATGATAGTGTGTGGAGGCCACTACAGAAGATGACAGGAGCCCTGCCAGAGTGTGCGGTGGGGCCAACGGGCTGATTTCTATGCACAGGCCACTGATGTTTTCCAAGTAAGGACAGCTCTTAGAGAAATGAAAATAGAAAATGCAGGACCAGAGCCCACACTAAGAATTCAGTTTAGCAAAGACACGAAACTGCCCGTGGAAGTAAAAGGTATTTAGCCTTGCTATTCTTAACAGGAAGAAACAAGCCTTCCTACTGCAATCTTTTCATGATTAAGCTAAAAGCCTGTCAGTCTTTGCAAAAGAACACTGAACTGATGTCTGTGTCTTGTGCATTTACTTTCTAGCGCCTGAAATGATGTTTTTCTGAGCCATCGGACTGGTGTGCAATGATGCTGTTCTGAAGAATACGAACAATCCACAAAGATCAGCAAGGAATGGATAGCTAATGCAATATTCCAAAAGGATACCAGTATGAGCATCATAAGGCACCCAGGGTTTCTCCCTATCCATACTCCTTCTTATGAAGCAAACTGTCTAATTTTGAAATTATTGGAACATCACACGAGGATGTGGAAGCACATTTAAACTGCCTGATTTCAGCAAAATAACGTCTAGAAGGGACCAGCTGTAGTAAATAAACTAGATCAAAGATCAGAAAGGCTAGAGAAGAAAAGTGATACATCTGTGAGTAGGGCATCAGAGTAATAAAGCCAAGAAATAGTACCCTAGTTTGGGCCAAAGAGGAAAAGGGATGTGTGGGGCAAGAAGAAAAGTCCCACACTTCCCACTAAAGAGGTCGACTAGTTTTGTCACCTTATCATCCCCTTTCTTCATCTCTCCTCTACATCCTGGTGGTTTCCAACTAGTATTGCATATTCAAATGACCTGGAACTTTTACTTTTTTTTTTGTTAAGATGTGTTTATTTGTTAGAGAGAGAGAGTGCGCATGTGGGGGGTCGGGCAGAGAGAGAGAGTCTTAAGCAGACACTGGGCTCAGTGTGAAGCCCAACAGGGTGCTCGATCTCATGACCCTGAGATCATGCCTGAGCCAAAACCAAGAGCCAGACGCTCAACCGACTGTACCACCCAGGGGCCCCAACCTGGGAGATTTTAAAAATGCCCAGGCTAGACCACAGACTAATGAAATCAGACTCTCTGCCCACGGAAAGCTGGCATCAGTTCTTAAAGCTATCCAGGTGACTGCAATGATCAGCGAAGATGGAGAACACAGCTCTGTTCCATCTCTTCTCTATTCACTGTCCCCCATGCCACACACCTAGAGGCATTACCTGGCTGAATCCTCCACCAATGTCGTATGATGCAATACATGCACTTCGGAATAAAAAAGAGCTGACTTCAAACTTGGCTTTGCTATTCACAGACACCTGCCCTAGTTTCATGACTTCTCTGAAGCTGCAGGTTCTCATCTGGGGAGTAACAGGGGTTTATGACAATGAATAGAAAGAGTAGATTCTCAATACATGTTAGTATCTTTTTTCCCCCATAAATTTAATGTCACAGAGACATTTTCCATGTCCTCAAATTACTATTTTTTTCTCACCTCTTAGGAAAGCTCCCATTCACTTAAAGTCGAGTACTTTCAAAGTTGATCTTTCTAGGTATATTGGCTTACTAGCCCAAAGTAATCAGGAATTAGTAAGATTTCAGGAGGTATTTAAGATAATGGTTTTCTGGATTGCTCTGAGGTGAAATTCAGGTATGATGGTTAATTTTATATGTCAACTTGGCTAGGCTATGGTCCCTGGGGTTTTGGTCAAATACAAGTCTAACTGTGGGTGTGAAGGTATTTTTTAAATGTAATTTACATTTAAACCAGGAGACTTTGAGTAAAGTAGATTATCCTCCATAATGTGGGTGGGCCTCATCCAATCAGTTTAAGGCCTTAAGAGCTAAGACTAGTTTCCTGAAGAAGTACCAATTCTAAATCTCTGTGTCTGTGTCTATATCCGTCTGTCTATCTATCTCCTATTGATTCTGTTTCTCTGGAGAAGTTTGACTAATACACCAAGGATCCTCAGAAGGGCTTCATAATGACTTTTGCTATGCCCATTTCTTCCTTTTCCTCCTCTCAGGAGAGGGATCAAGCTCTTTTCCTTTCACCTTTCTGAAGCTGGTGATACATTCTATCCCTTACACTTAGGTCAGGTTAAGAGAAATAATTAAATAACAGAAAATAAGTACTATAATGGTATTCAGCATTTAGGTTTTCAAAAGATTTTATAAATGTGGCTTTCATGAATATGAAGGGTCATTTATACGAACTACTTATCATTTCTGAGTAGCACAATCATGATTCTCAATATCTTTCAATGTGTGTGGTTAAATTCTGTAGCTTTTCTTTGATGCCTAGAATGTGGAGTCTTCACATGTTTTGCACATGTTATTTAATCAACCCCAAAGCTTAAAAGTATTAGAACCCTCACTTTTCTCCCAGTGAGAATGCTAGACAGTTTAGAATCCTCACCTGTTTCTGGTCACCAGAAGTAGTGAAGAAAATAGTAGGGATTTGAGGGATACAGAGATATTTTAGTGTCTTTTGGTCGGATACTGAGAGTACTTCTGACTTGGCTTTTCTTCCTCCCTCCCTCCTTTTTCTCTCTCTCTCTTTCTTTCTTTCCCTTCTTTCTTTCTTTTTGAAATCAGGAGATAGTTTTCTCCTAAAATACATATACTGGATCATTTAAGGGAGAAACTAATAATGAAATTAAATGTGTGTTGGTGAAATTTTCAGTAAATGATCCGAAAGATACCAGGACAAGAAAGAGAAGATGCTCCTTTCAATCAACACTGGTATTAACCATTATGTGATAAAATAGGTAATTTTAAAATTCCAGTGAATTCCAAAGACCTTGGAAGTCCGCTTCTTCATTCAACATTATTAGGCTCCTGTTGACCTGTTTACTATGCAATGCTGTGAATATTAAGCATTTTACCAAATTGTTATTGTCACAGGCTACTGATAGTTAATTTAAAAAATGAATTATGGTAAACACGTGCATTGACCAAAACAATGAAATGTGTTAACCTCCTATAATTTTTAAAAGTCAAGATGTGCTTTTTGTAGTATCAAAATAGTCTAGGCGGCACTGTTTTTCAAAAATGTGCTTCTGCTTATCCCACAACGCTTTTGGTATTTTCCTGGTAATTCGGCAAACCTCTTAAACCTGAACAAAATGAGGATTTTGTGCTTCTCTGTTTACAGAAAGAGCATATCAAACTGACAAATTTGATAATCTTAAAAAAAGGAAAGAAAAAACTGTTCTTATTTCAAAGGTTCAAAAAATAAAGGTTATTTACTATGCAGACCTAGATTTCTTGTTGTTTTTAAGATAGTAAATTAGAAAAACATGGCCAGAGTTAAAGGTTACTCAATCAGGTTGAAGCTGGGACTTTTATTCCAGCAGCTCCTGTTCCCCAAATTATATCTGATAATGTCCTAAAGTCTAAACATATTTTAGTTCAAAATGATACTCAGCTCTTAGATATAAAATGTCACTGAGCTTCCAAATATCAATAGGTTTACCCACCCTCTTCAGCTGATGTATTTGTATTCGGGGTAATCTGCCACTCCACTTCTGAACTGTAGTATTTGAGGAACTGAAACTTTGAGCTGGAATGTTTGTTTTGCATTTTCCTATGCATAATCACAGGATTGGGACATTAATAAAGGGGTTGGTGTATTGGCCACTGCTGAGGCCTATTATTTAGGCAGAGTCATGGCAGTGGAGCAAAGCTGAATGTGTGCAAGTGTAAAATACATTTCAGCCTGTATTATGTTGGATAGAAAAGAAGACAAGTGTGTCAAGAGACATGAGGAGTAAAATATCTGAAACTGTCTGACATGATCTTCACACGTGCCAGCTGAAAATGGCATCTATATTTCTCCACAATTCAAGAAAGATTCACGGTAAGTATGTGTCTACAGCAGCTATGGAAATGTTATTATCCAGAAGCAAGATGGCACCTGTAAACTCAAAATTGGCCACATTCCATTGAACTCCATCTCTGAGAGAGGAGGAAGCTGGAAATGGTAGTGCTCTGAGGATGTCCATGTGGGTGGGCAAACATATTTTGCTGCGAAGCAAAGGAAGTGGTACACCAGGACTTTTTCATAAGTGCGAGGCCTTTATAAACTCATCCTCAGGGGGGCTGTTTTAAATAGAAAGAAAATGACACACAGTCCGCCACTGGGCTTCCTAACTGTTTGGAGAGAGCTGCCACTTTCCCCAAACATTAGGTTACTGTGGAGGAGTTTTCAAACTTGTCAACAATTCCATTTTTAACCTCGGCTCTTCCTCTCCACTTAAGACGGAGAGATGCAAGGTAGCATGAACTATATTTGGTCTCACAGGAGACATAAGTCATTTTTACTCTGCTGACCCCTACCTGGCAGTGGAAGACATATTCTGGTGTGGTTTTCTTAAACTTCATGTTCCAAACCAAGGCCACTCCATCTGGTTCATGGGGAGCATCCTCGTTGTTGTTGTAGGAAGCGACCATCAGCTCAGGGTACTGGATGGAAGAGGTCACAAGGATGAATTATGTCAAGTTCCTGACACAAAGAAAACGTCTTTATTCCTACAGACAGAGGCTATGTTGCATCATTTAAATGGTACTTTCTTTTGAAGTTGTGGCATACTTAATACCAACTACTGCTTCAACCTATTGCGATCTGGTTTCTTCTTCCAACGTTCCAGGTGGGCTTGCCAGCAGCACCAGTAACTACCATATGCACACACTACTGGGCCTCTCTGCATTCTCTGACACTTGGACTACTCCCTCCTTTCTCCTATATTGGCTTCCATTACATCTGTCTCTCCCAATTCTCTTCCTGACCATTCTTTTCAGTCCCTATAGGCTCTCCGTCTAATACCTATATTCCAGGCGGGCTGTTTTCTGCCCTTTTTTTTGGGTCTCTGTCCATACATTATCCCTGGGTGATCTCATCTACTCCAACGGCTTTAATACGCATTAATATGCTGACAATGTTCAAATCTACATCTCTAGGCTTGATGGCTCTCTCAGCTGTAGACCTTTTGCATACTGGAGATTTCTCTGAACTGTCCATAGACACATCAGATGCAATGCATAAAAAAAAAAAAGAAGCTTCTTGCCTTCTACAAAAACCTCTTGCTCTTCTAATGTCCCCTCTTTTGGGTGCCTTTCATTAACATTCACCTACCTGCCTAAACCAGACACTCCACGTTCATTTTTACTCCTTTCTCTTTCTTATCTCCTTCTTATGTACTGTGTTGACTCCTGCCTCAATACCTTTCAAATGCATGTTTTTTTTTTCCATCTCTAAGGTGAGGGTCTCCTCAACTGATTTTTTTTTTAAGATTTTATTTATTTATTTAACAGAGACAGAGAGAGAGAGCAAGAGAGTGCAAGCAGGGGGAGCTGCAGAGGGAGAAGGAGAGGCAGATTCTCCGCTAAGCAGGGAACCTGATGCAGGGCTCCATCCCAGTACCCTGGGACCATGACCTGAGCCAAAGGCAGATGCTTAACCGACTGAGCCACCCAGGCACCCCTCCTCAACTAATTTCTTATCTGAATAGAGGCAACAGCTTCCTGAATGGCTTCCTGCTGACAGCTTGCCAGGCCCTCCCCTCCCCTACTCCACTCTCTATCCTTTATCAATGTGACTTTACAAAACATACATTTGGCTAAGTCACTCCTCTGCTCAAAATGCTTTAATGGCTCGTCCTCACTTTCAAGATTAAACCCAGGTCATATAGGGTCCTTCACGATCTGTCATTGCTAGCTCCTCTGCTTAATCTCTTACCACCCGCCCTCCCTCCTCTATCCCCACACCCTGAGCCTCAGCCTCATGGGCTAGTTCTGAGATTCACAGGGACAGCCTCTGTGCCTAGGAGTGTAATACTCACTCTTACTGGAATGCCTCTTCTGTCTTGTTTCTAACAGTAACTCATGCATCAAATCCTCCAGACAATCCTAACTAACCATCCACAACCCCTCCTTCCGTCTCATAGGCTCCCTTAGCATTATGTGTGCTCCTCCATCAAAGCCCTTGTCAAACTGTGCTATGGCTTTTATTCCCCACCTATGTCTCTTATTAGTCTATAAGCTCTCTCTGAGCGTAGGGACTTATTTTTATTAAATTCTAAATCTAGTGTCTGATAACTCCTAGCACATAATCAACTTGTGTCAAAATCTATTGAAATACAAATGGTCTTTTTTATTTTAGTGACTCTGCTCTCAGTAGAAAGACCTTATATTTAATCCTTTGTTGTCAAATAATGCCAACAATTAAAGGCATAAGTGCAAGAACCACAACCAGTAAAATAATAAGGACTCTAAAGTGAATAGAAAGACCTACTTAGTCTGTGTGAACTCTGTGCTGTGTGTGTAATTAAACAAACTGGGGAGGAATCTTGTGGGGGGTATTTATGAGTTAGAATGCATTTCATGAAAATGCCATTCCTACCTGGCATTCCCATAAGGCAGCCCCATTAAAAACAGCATCAGGATTATAGCAGGTCTTATCACTCTTTGCTCATAGATGGCTTAATTATTTTCCTTCCTTTTCGCTATGCTATATACATATTTAACAGAAGATGGCCCTTATAAATTGAAACATCAACTTTTTTTTCTATCAAAAATGATTAAAGCTGAGTCTTCTAGGTGGCTTTATTCATTTGTTCAGCAGCCTCAACTTAAGAAACCTGCAGGGAGTTACAACTTGCTGGTTGATGCGGAGGAAGTATAATCCTACAACAAGACACATGTATGTGGCCACCAGGGGAAGTAATCATTCTTTATTAGAAAACACTCCTCAGTGGCTGAATCAAAAGCCCATTAGGGAAGGCCTTTGATTCAAAGACCATTTAAAGAAACTAATATCCAGATAAACACAGAAGTCTCCAGACTGTCCATCTGAAGTTTAACTATGTCACATGTGAAAGGCAACTCTATAAACATCAACACCACTACCATAGTGACCAATGAGCAGCCAGATGTGTCTGGAATAATATCCCACAGCTTCACATCTGGGTCTCATCGTTGGCTCCCACTTGTAGCTTTTCTTTTTTCCATTAAAAAGATAGTTGAAATTATTTGGCTTTAAAACCCCTTTTGAAAATAGGGAGAGTTTTAGTAAAATACCAGGAAAATGCCTTTGGCGTAATTTCTATAATTGGCATCATAAATCCTAAAGATACTGATTTAACTCATATCTCATGCAAGTTTTTTTGATTTCGAAGTCTCCTCTTAAATGTCTTTTTCCATTGTGTGTTTGAACATGACTAGTCATATTTTCTTACTCTCGAGTGAAAAGTAAATCTCTGAACAATTATTTAAATCTTGAATGTTAAAATTATGACTTTTAAAGGGAATGTGAACAGTTATGAAGTTTATAATTACTCATCAGGTTGGATTATCCAACATTTAACCTAGGAGAAATTTACCTGAAAATTACCAGATCGGCTCTCAAGCTGTTCTTACAGAGAAATAAAATCTGACATTCATCAGAGAGGAAGGAACCAACATGTTTTTAGTGCCCATTATGTGCCAGACACTGAGCTGGGTGATGCATTAACTCATTTGGTCCTTGCAATCCTCTAAAGTAGAAGTGGTCTTCCCATTTCTACAGATGAAGAAGCCAAGGGTCTCAGGGTAAGTAACTTGTTCTGAGTTATGTTGATAATAAACGAAGAAGTGAGAGCCTTACTTGAAGTCTGTTTGGCTTCAGAAGTCATGTCCTTTCCAGTCCACTGTGGCATGGGTCCAGTGCCTCCTACACATATGTAAGGCACTGTGCCAGGTGAAATGTGGGACAAGAATGTCAACAGTAATGTGCTTTGCTCTATAGGAACTCACCCTTAAGTAGAGGGAGGTAGGGCACGGGTACGAATAACTATAATGCAAACATAAAGGCAGGACATGATATGTGCCAAGGTGGAAATGTAAACACGGTTCTTTGGAAGTACAGAGGAGAAAAGAACCACCTTAGTTGGGATGGGGTGTGGCAGGGAAAGAAACTGGAAAGGACTTCTAAGACGAAATGAGACATGCATTGGGCTTTGTTAGGCGATAGGTTATTAGGAGAGAAGAGAGTGGGGAATATGGACAAGGGTACAAAGAGGAGTGCTGGAGATTTCTCTTGGTTATCTGCCTGGTTCGCAGTGATTCTCCCATCTTTGGACATTACCTCAATACATAGGTATCTAATCCCAGGGACAATTAGTTCACTGCAGGGTTGATACGTGACCCGGAGCGAATCACATCCTCTGAACTGGCTGTTGTACATTTTGAACTGCGACACAGAACCCATGGCTGGCAAATGAGTCAAGTTACGACAGCATCCTATTGGTGAGGTCCCACAAAGCGGCCCAGATTTGTACTCTTCCTGAGTCCCAGTTCTTCATCTTTTCCATGGATCTCCTAAGTACAGAGGAGTGCCTCTCCAGTACAGCCCCTCTTTTGCTCATGCTAGCCAGAGGTAAAGTTTTCTTAACTAATGCAGGGTAGGGCATGTTCAGGAGATGTCAGGTTGTAGCATTTGGCTGGGAGGCAGGTTAGAGGAAGCTGTAAACAAGAAGAAAGGGCTGGAGATGCCTCTGGGCATCGTCACAGAGGCCACTGAGCACAGGCTGATGATTTTAGACTTTACTCTGGGGACAGTAGGAGTTCTATTCAGCAACTATTAATACTACTGCTACTACTGCTTTCACGATGATGTCACATTTATTGGGCGCCTTTTATGTACTAGACACTCTTTAAGTCCTACTGCCATAAATACATTAACTCATATAATACTCAAAATAAGCATGTGAGCTAGGTATTATTATCATCATTTATGGATGAGGAAGCTGAAGCAAAGAGAAGCCAAGCAACTTGCCCAAGGAGACAGTGAGAGTTTATAAGTAATCTTTACAAATATCAATCTGGTGAAAAATACTTATAAGGACTCAACAGTATAGAGACTGGAGGTAGAAAGACCAATTAGGAAGCCATCTCCTAATATAAGCAAGAAGTAGCGGGCATGGCATAAAGTTAGGGTCAAATCCACATTAGTGGACTTCAACTGGTATCTGCAGGAGTCTTCTTGCTACTGTAAATTTGATTGGATTTGGAAACTAAATGAACTATTAAAGGTTACTCAGCTTTATACGTTGGGTGACTGCAAGGATGGAGGATGCAATTTCCATGTGAGGGAAGTCTATATGGTAGGAGTAAGGTCATGAGTGTGGTTTTGTACAAGTCTGGAAAAGCTGTCATGTGGTATGTGGATAGTATTATTGACTCACACTGTCCAACAATGGTCAATGAAGGACAAAGCTGACATAATCCCCCAAGTGACCCAGTTTCTTCCAGGGAATAACGTCTGGTGGATATTTGGCAAATATTGCAAAGTTAAAGTGTTCTTCTCTGAGAAGCCCAAGAGATCAAAGCAAAGCTATGCAGAAACCTTACAGTTTCTTCCTTTTTCTCCCCTCTGTCCCACTCAGATAGACACTTTTGACATATAGGCCACTTCAAGATTCCAAGACTGTGCCTCTCTCCTTCTTGTCTTTCCTAATATTATTGAATTGCATCTAGACTCATTCAGAAGTCTTCATCACCTAAGCATATAAGCCTGGTCCTTTGAACCCCATAAAAATGTTACGATGTAGGAGCTGAGGGTTCCAATCCCTTTTTCTTTTTTTCTTTAGTAGTCTCCATGACCAGTGTGGGGCTTGAACTCACAACCCTGAGATCGAGAGTCACATGCTGTACTGACTGAGCCACCCAGCTGCCCCTCTAATTCCTTTTTCTCATGCTCCATATAAAATATGCTTTTTCAGAACTGCAAACCTCTTTCCTACAGTGTAGATGAGCAGGTTACACAAAAATGGTGAAAAGTGTATGTGGTCTCTCCACGGTAGAGTTTCTGCCCTTTACAGTTTCAGTTCTTGCAAAAAACAAAATAAAATACCAAACTGTCACACAGAACCCTATGTGGAAACAAATCCATCCATGGTCCATATGACCACTGTACACTGTGGCCAGGCAGGGACTGGCCCCACTGAGGCTGGCCCTCCCAACTCCTCAGGGAGCTTTATCAACTGACCCGGGAACACAGAGGTTGTCTTTGAGAAATGTGTCAGATAAGGTTCCTGTGTAATTTCCAGACTCTGAACAAGTGAACAAACCGAGCTAAGTGAAAGTTTCCTCAGGCTTGGATCTAATTTCTGTGCGTACACCCGAGCATGCTCACAGACCACCCACACACTGGCGGGAAGTGGCTGGGCCAGCCCTGCTTATATTAGTCTCTGCACGATCAGGCACTGCGTGCTCTGTTGTTTGAATGTAAAAGGAGGTTCAAGAGGAGAGAACACTGGCCCACTTGGTGGCTGATGACAGTCCGGTTGTGAGGGATTACACTCCTCTTCAAATGAGCAAAAAAAAAAAGAGAGAGAGAGACAAATGAAGAAACAGCCTCTTAACTATAGAGAACACACTGATGGTTACCAGAGGGGAGACAGGTGGGGGATGGGGGAAATAGGTGACAGGGATAAAGAGGACACTTATCACGATGAGCACTGAGTCATGTATAGAAGTGTTGAATCACTGTATCATACACCTGAAACTAATACAACACTGTATGTTACCTATACTGGAATTAAAATAAAAAACTTAATAAAAGTGAAGAAAAGGAGGTTCAAGAGGAGAGAACACCCGCTCACTTGGTGGCTGATGAGAGTCCGATTGTGAGGGATTACACTCCCCTTCAGTTCTCCTATACTCCAGCAGGATTAAATGGGGCTCTTCACATCATCTGTTTCACAGCTCGGCCTAGAACACACTCTTCTCTCCTCCGGTGGTCTAAATCCCAGTCTTCCAGAGACAGATCCCAACCTCCACTGACCTCTGAAAGCCTGTGCTATCTGCCTCTTATCGTTCGGCACTTATAACCTCTCTTGGTTCCAGATTCAGAAGTCTTTTGTGAGAGGCACTGGTAAGAGAATATGCCCTGAAGTGCTGAAAGACGTGAGTTCAAATGTCCACACAACCACATTTTAGCTGAGTGATTTTTAGCAAGTTACTTAGCTTCTCTGAGGCTCAATTTCCTCAGCTGCACAATGGGGATATTAATGGTTGCTGCCTCATCTGAGTTATGAGGCTGAAATTAGAGGATGCCTTCAGGGCAGTTGGCACAGTGCTTAGCACATAAGAAACACAAATTAAAAGCTAGCCATGATTATTATTCCCCATAAGAACATACACCATAAAAAGCAGAAACTATGCTGTACGTAGATGTCCAGAATTCATCATTCCCATTTTCTTCATTGCTATTACGTCATTGTCATTGCAGGAAGGCACATAGCATGGCTGTTCTGAACGTGGGCTCAGAGGTCAGACCACCTGGGTTCAAACTCTGGCCACCCCACAACTAGGCTGTATGCCTTTGTGCACATTATTTAACCACTCAGTGCTAGATAATCTGTCATGTAATGGAGTTGGCTCTTCAGCAAGGTGAATTTTGGTAAATTTGCCTACTTTGACTCTGAATACGACACTAAGGAGTATAGACTTAGAGGCAACAGGGAGTTTTAATCCAGGGGGTGGAGTGATCAGATTTGCATTTTAGAAAGATTATTTGGTTAGGTGTCCAGAGGGAACACCACAGATGAACAAGCATGGATATAGGAAGACCAGTGAGAAGTTAGCAATACTACAGGTATAGGGTGATAAATATATGAGTGGAGAAACAGACAGTCTTAGTGACAGTCTAGGTCTGGGAGATGAGAGGGAGAAGGTTGCTAATGTTAATGATGAAAGTTCTGCGTTAGGCCATTGGGTATATTGTGATGTCTTTAACTTAGAATGCAGTAGGAAGAAAAATTCGGATTATGTGAAAAAAATGAATTCGTGATTGCAGATTCTATGAGACAGCTGAGTGGATCTGTCTGGTGTGCAAAGTGGAATTTCGGAGGGTGATAGGCAGGTGATATAAACAGGCTGCCACGTGGTGGCTGAATCCATAGAAGTGGAAGAGACGTCCCACAGAGAGCATGTTGGGAGGAAGAGTAGAGGTTGAGGGTACAACCACGGGGACCACAGTGGTGGAAGAGAAATACGAAGTTTTGGAGAAGTGTGAGAACTAGCAGAGAGTGAAGCTGTGGAACCCAGTGGAAGGATATTGTTTTTAGACTACGAGGACGTCAACTAGGCTGGATGACAAGGAAGTCAGGGCAAATGAAGGCTTAAAAACAGCCACAGGATCTGATGCATGGGAAATCACTGGTGACCTTCAGGATAGCAGTTTCACAGACAGGATGGCCTGCTCCTTGTCTGGTGCCTAGCACATGGTAGGGACTCGACGCATGTGAATAACAGCATGCAAAATTTCAACTGAAAGCTCAGTAAAATGAGAAAGAAAACCAACAGGCGTAGAAAAAAATTGTAGGCTAGTAAATATATCTAAAGTAGTGGAGAAAAACTTTTTTTTTTTTTTTTAATACAAATGCCATGAGAACACAGCCCAGTTTGTTCCATCCCAGCAATAATTCTTACCTGGAGAGACCAGTCCATACAAGTGACTACTCGATGCTTGGACCAATGCTCATCGTAGAACTGACGATTGAAAGAAAGGTTGGCTCCCGCCTGGACATCCCTAGGAGGATTTAAATATCAAAGACAAATATGATGCTTCAGAATGGGGCTTTATCTCTGCTGCTCATATTGAAAGAATGCAATGGCAAGAGCATGGCACATAAAACTGAGGCCAAAGCTTCAGTTTAGATAGTAAAGGCTAATCATAAATAAATGAACTAATGGTGGTCTCCTCTATGAAAAGCTCACCCAGGAAAGGTTTCCATGTATTACTCCAAAGCTGGTATGAAATGTCAAGTAATTTTCAGGTTCTCATCTTGACCAGTCCCTAAAGCATTTTCTTCCTCCTAGTAAGTTCTATCTTGAAGCCGAGCTCCCTAGAAATCTCCCAGCTATCAAGGGAGCACAGTACCCTTGGAGATTCTTTGATATCATACCAATATCTCCTTATCTAGCCTTAGACCAGAGATGATAGGCAAGCTTCTCTTTACCTATAATTTCTGGTTGACTGTAGTGCTGCCTCCCTGCTCAAGAGTAAGTGATAAGTTTCACCATGAGTCAGGCAGAGTGGAGGGTGCGCGACTCACCAGACGTATTAGATACTTAACATAGACCAAAACAGCATCTGGGGCTACACTTTGGTCAGCGTTTACTTGGCTGATACTCAACTGGCCACAAAACCTCCCTTGAAGAACTCTACACTGGTCATGCATTCGCTCCACAAGACTGGGTGCAAATTGAGTAACGCTCATTCTGTACCAGCAGCTTTGGGATCTGCATAAAAAGCTGCCTACATTTCTTGGGCTTCAGTTCAGGAATTCCCCCACTCCCACTTTCCTCCTGTTCATTTCCTTCATCCCACTGACTCGCACCCTGTATCACTCGCCTTATACAGCTCTTGTTCAGATGGTGACTTGGCCCCAGACTGTTTACCTGAGCTCCGATCAGCTGACTTAGGACTTTTTTTTTTCCCCCTACTAACTCTTCCTCAAATCCATCACTGCCAACTCAGGCAAGAGGTACACACACCCAAGTAACCGCCAGGCACCCGGAGGGAAACAGGACCCAGAAAATTGACTGAGACATAGAGTAATGGCTTTTTCAAAGAAAAATAAAGCATCTCATAACATGTATGTTCAAAATATTACTGTCTCTCTGAAATAGTCTAATGATGCTGCCAACTGGTTAGAACATTTTCAGAACCCTCTTTCGAAACTGTTTTTGGAGGTTGTGTTACATTCCCTTGAGCATCCTCAATGATAATACATTGTCCTTTGAGAATTGTATTTGAATTTTAGAAATAGTAAAAAGTCAAGTCTGGTGAATAAGGCAGGTGATCTCACCTTTTCATATTGTTCTTGGCCAAAAGAAATCGGTGGCTATAAACTGGCTATATTTATTTCTTACAAAGCTCATAAAGTACCTCCTTGTATCCCCATGATGATGGTTGACTGCCCCTGCCTTTTACAATATTTACGTTACAGTCTCAGAGAAAGTCACTGGGGGTCATTTGTTTTTATTGATTACTTTTTGTTTTACCTTTAAATATATACATTTTTTAAAATATTTTATTTATTCATTTGTCAGAGAGAGGGAGAGAGAGAGCACAAGCAGGGGGAGCTGCAGGCAGAGGGAGAAGCAGGGAGCCCGATGCGGGGCTCGATCCCAGGACCCTGGGATCATGACCTGAGCTGAAGGCAGACACTTAATGACTGAGCCACCCAGATGCCCCTAAATATATCCCTGCACATGACTGTCCTACAAGACATATACACGTATGTTCACGGTATCAAAAAAAAGACAAAGGTTGTAGTCTCTGTTAGCTCTTCCCCACATCGGTGAAGGGGTCCCATATCTCATGCTTATTTTGTTCAGCTTCCTGTTTGCTTAGACATCAAAAATAGATCTACTGGATATAATACAAATCTCCTTTGCTGCTTATAGGAATGTTTTCTCAGAGGACAATGTACGTGACTCTGCCAGTCTCTATCACCTGGACTGTTCCCCAGATATCAAGTTCAAAAGCATTTCACGGAAGCACATGATAATTACAGGGAAACATTAATCCACAAGTTATAACCAAAGCCCTTAGTCAAAGCTGTTCAGCAAGATCAACCCTGGAATTTCATCCTCCTCTGATTTGTTTGGTTTGGGATTTGCCTAGTCAATACATAAGTGAATTTAGAATCAACAATAATTTATTGCAGTGTTTTTTTGTTTTTTTTTTTTTTAATGCACACAAGAAACTAACCCATCTTTTTCCTCTAACTCTCGACCACTATAGTCAAAGAAGATGTCAGAGTCTTCTGCCAGTGCTCTTTCAATCACCCGGATTGTCCGATCAAAAAAGATGAGGAATTCCTCTGAATGAAGGATCTGCTGTTTTTCTTCCTCGGTCAGCTCTCGTGGAGGGGCTTTTTAAGTAAAAGAGATTGTTAGGAAAGAAGAAAAGGACAATTAAAACATTTCAAGAGGAATCCAACTCTTGAAAGAGATGACTTACCAAAAGAGTGAGCAGATGGTGAAATAAATCATTGTCAATATTGATTCTAAATTGCTCCTAAATTCACACCAAAGGTTTTTGCAGATGACTCCCCTAATTTTACAAAAATATTTCAGATCTGGACTAATTACTATTTCAAAGAGTCAACAAAGATTACAAATGAAAACAGACTGGTGTTTTTTAGCAACCAGTTCTGAATGTTCCCTGCTTTAGAACTGAACTTGAAAAAGAGCTCAAAGAGTACATAATAGAAAAATCTATAAAACTATGTATATTGGATATGACTGAAAGCTGCACATATGAAATAACTCAGAACTGTCTATAATATGATCTGGGTAGCATCCTTCCTCGCTCTCCTGGACACATTCATTTTATTTTAGAGGGTTATTTGGTAAGGCCAACTGGCTCTTACACAGGTTCCACTCAAAACCTGAAACGTGTCATTCCAAACCTGCTTTCCCCTGAGATATCTTCTGCTTTTAAACAAACACATGGAACAAATAAACGCTTTTATAAGACATCTCAAAATTGTTTTTATGCCTTTCTTTTCTAGCGTGATTAATCTTATTAAACTAAGTTTGAAGATACAAAATGAGGCAAAGAGAGATTAAGTAACTGGCAGTATGTCCTGGTGTCAGAGTCCCAAGTAGGTTACACAGACAATCCCTTCAGTGGCAAGGCTTACATACAATGATCGAGAAAGGATTAGGGACTCCCCCAGACTGAGAAGCCCTCAAGCACAGAAAGGGTCAGCTGAAACTTTGTGGTTCTTCAGAAGCCCCAAGCTCAACTCCCTTGCAGAGAGCATTCAGTACATGTTTGGTGCATCACTCTCTGGATGACTGGAAGCTTCTGGAATTTAAGGGACAGGAGGAGGGTGCTGCACTGCAATCAGTGCTGGAGTCCCCAGTGCAGTCTCTCACCCACGGGCTTGCCCAAACTCTTCCACAACCATCCCCATCACCATTCCTACCTGGCCACAGGGTCAGAGGACCCACATAGGTGCAGTCAGTGGTAGCATCTTGTTTTATGTTATTTGTTTCGATCAGTGGTGTCGTGAAGCCACTGGCCTACCAAATCTGAACTGGCAAGCAGAATGACTGCAGAGCCAAGGCAGTGGATCCCAAGACTTGAATGTCCATAATGTCTTCCTGCTTCTGACCTCCCCTTCCCTGCCCCAGCCCACGGTGCAGGGGTCTGGACGGACTCCAGAATCTGTGTTTGTACAAGACTAGGGTTAGGATAATGTAGTTTGTTCACACTTGGCAAAATGCTCTCCAAGGTCATATTATAACAAAACATGATTCACCTACTACATACAGCAGACGATCGTCTCCCAAAAGAGTTCGTCCCGTAGTTTGTGGTAGCCCTACACATAGTTAGAAATATTCCTTTGCTGCTGAAGCCTCTAGAGCCCTTAATATGCCAACGTGTACTGGGACGCTCCGGGAACCTCCATCGATACCTGCTGAGCAGAGGTGCCCACACTGGTCTGAGAAACGGTGAAAGTGGCAATGTGTAGATGTAAACAACAAGGACTCTACAAAACCAACCCGGAATCCAACACTGCCTTCGCCCTTCACTAACTTTGATTCTTTAATCAACTAAAGCTCTCTGAGTAGCAGTTTTTAATCAATAAAATGGGGTAATGATACCTAAACTTGAAATCTCATTTAAGGCTTAAGGATAAATATACTGGGCAAATAGTTATGCATTCAATAATTAGTAATTAAGTAGTAATTAGTCTACTTTTCTAAAACTCCCATAAATGAGGCATTTGAATTTTTTCACCCTTATGTAAGTTCAAGAAAACAGGTAACCAGGCAAAAGAAAAAAAAAAAAACCCTACAAAATGCTAGGTTCATTTTGGTTTGGTAGTACTGTTACATAAACAAACAAGCTTCACCAAACGAGGATACCATAAGGCCAAGAAGAATGTCTTATTTTAAAAGCCTTGTTCAGCCTTAGTTACTATTGATGGATGACTTGAGACCTATCTGAAATTAAGCAGAGAAATAGGACTTTTTTCTCTTTATTCTTTTTTAAAATAATATTTAAAATATCTATTCTACTCTCTGTTTATCTTTTTGAGTTACTTATATTTCACCTGTATCTTTCCTTACAGGTCCACTACCTTGAATAAAAAATAGTATCTATGTCATTTTCTGTAATTTTTTCTTCCCTGTAGCTTATTGTCACTTTGATCTCAGCTTTCAAGACATACAACTCCTTCTCTAAGAGAAACATAAATGGCTGATCAAAGTGTATTTGCAGAGGCCAAGTTCAGGTAGGTGAAGGAGTAGCCTCTCCAGACATTATGTTTGACAATACAGTATTTGGCTTGAAATTAAACTGCTACTGAAGCAAAACAAAGGATATATTTTATATTAAGCTTTGATGTCTAACAGGGATCAAATGACATGATTTGTTAGCACAAAATAATAAGATGCATGTGCAGACAAGTACTTTTTGAAAGTCATAAACAATATTCAACTTAGAAATTAAATAGGGCCATAGTTATTTCTGATAGACCCCCAAACCTCCTGTATTTAAAATCTTTAAATTGATAAGTGTTACAATGTAATGAAAACATAATGGAGTATCCAGAACCCTGACTAAAAGCTGTATTCAGAGAAAACACCTCTCCACACACTGTATTTCATGAAAGAAAAATTGGTTGATTAATGGAATCCACAAGGTTCAAAATGCAAGCACAAATAATTAGAATCAGAACTGTATTACTTCGGAGTAGACCCCAAATTCTCCCTGATATATCTGTTTCTGCAGCTTCTCCCTATCCCCGGCACCTAATGAATTATCTTCAACATGTTCACCACATAAAAAAGTGCGAATTAATTTAATAGCAAAAGGCGTACCAGAGCAAAACGTAGGCATTGTTAATCATTGATTTTTCTTTTTAAGTTAAGCAGAAAATGTTATTATCGCAGGTCTGTTTGTTTTTGCAACACAAAACATGGAGTATTTCTGCCAAGAGCTAACAATATTTTATGCATGTAAAATGGCCTTTTTTTTTAAAAAAGAAAAATTCCTTATGAAAAGTCAAACACATGGATATAACTAACATATGATCCAAATGACAATTTTCGTACTTGCCCAAATTTACCTGAACAGTTACATTTAGCTTGAATAACAACTATGAAGACAATGTACTGAATTCATGAAATTTGAAGTTTAGAAGATGGCCTAAGTCTATGACTTTGTGGTTGCAAGATTAAAATCTAGTACACATTTTATTTTAGGGTCTATTGTTTATTCTTTTTCATTACAGAAAAGTTAATTTCTCATTTCGTATTTGAAAATACTTGTGTATGTGTCTTTATGAGGATTCTATCCTATTTGCTGTGCTTTGAGTTTTTTTTTTTTTTATTGACTTAATAGGTACTTTTCCAGTTTGTTGTTGTTTTACTCTATTTACTATATACTATATCTTTGGTTTCACATTTTGATTTTTTTTAAATACAAAATTCATAATGAAATTCACAATTCATATTAAGTATTTTATAATCTTTCCTTGAGGTCAAAAGCTATTTTAAAAATATTCATTTCAGAAATGTCTTGCCTTGTTTTCAATGATGCAGCTTTGAGTTTCGATATAAAAAATTAAATCTTTTAGCTGTTTTTCAAGGGTATATGCAAAAGACAAAAAATAAAGGAGTAAACCATGTAGCTTAAATCTTAAACCTGATTAAACAGGGACGGTGGCTCTTCTGGGAATTTTACAGTGAAATCATTTCATAAACAGGAGCAAGAAAACCAAACCAAACTAATAAAGAAGGAGGATCTCCTTCTCTGAAGTTAATGTGCATTTACAAGAGTTAGGTTTCTGTTTCTGTTGTTTTAAATCTCTAAACATGAAGATACCAGAACACTCACATGTAGAAATTGCCTAAAATTTGATTAAAAGCTAACATATACCTGTCGTTTGCACTACTCTGTTGTGGAAAAAAAGAGTGCAAACAGTAAAATAGTAAACCCTTATTTCTTGACTGTTTAGTGCATTTTGATATCACACAGGCAAAAATGTCAAAGGCTAGTGAGCACTGATTTTTTTTTTTTCCCCATCTCCCACTTACCTTTTTTTTTTAATTCCCCAAAAGGCCAGATTTCTCAAAAATGTGCTCCCTGGTTTGAAACCATGTATGTCAAGTTTCAGCCCAGAGCAAATTTTTATGGCTGAGTAATAAATCCCTGAAACTCAAGGTTCATAAGGGAAGTGCTGACACAACCCTAACTGCTCTGCAGCCGTGTGAATGGCGCCACGATTATATCTGCTGCAGATTCTTGAAAACGTTTGCAAAATACTGTCTTACTTAAAAAAAAAAAAAAAAAGCCAGAGAGAGTTTGATGCCAACATAAACATGCTTTTAACCCATTATGTGCTAATTTGCAGAAAAGCCATTAATAGAGAAAAAGGCACACGGCGCAGTAGTACACAGGAAATGTTCTTCCAACTTCTTTTTGACTTTTAACAGGACTTTAATCAATTCCATGAAGCCTGAGCAACGGTTAAAAACGAGACGGTGTTTTTGCTCCGGACTGAAGAAGGGGGCTGCCTTACTTTGCCAGAGAAGACAGTTTGGGGACTGGGGGGTGATGGGCAGGAGAGAATCTGTGCCAAGACACACAAAGACACCCTGGCTCCTTATCACCCAGCAGGGCTTAAGGATATTTTGCAAAAGGAAAACCCCTTTATGTATTTTAATAAATCCTGACTTATTTCATCTCTTGCTACACCTGTGTTAATGATATTCCATTCACCAGCTTAAAAAAAGTGTTCTTAGAATTTTAGACAAAGTCTCTTCCATCAAGTGCATTTAGAATCCCTCAGAAAACATCACTCTCGTGCCTTCTGTGGATGCTACTGTTAAAGAGGCTGAATCTACTCCCTGCCCTTAGTCGGAGCCCAGAACTTGATGGTAATCGAAATCACTCAATGCTCAAGCAGGTCAAAGTGAGCATATATGACCAATATGTACCCATTCCTATAAAAGTCCCCAGTGACAACTATGTGCCACATACTATACCAGAGACACAGGCATCTTTTGAATTTAAAAATCAAGTGAGCTTCTAATTAGACTTGTGTTGATCTATATTTGGGACACTGAGCGGGGACTATGGAAGAAGCTTTTCAATCTATGCATACTTCGTTTGTCAGTAAGAATTACAATTTCAAAGTTCTTTTATCTCCAGGGACTGAGAATCTCAAAGGGTTACAAAATTAGATTTTTAGGGAATCGGCACCTGTAGTATTTCTTGTCTTCCCTTTTCTTTTTTCTTTCTGCTTTCTTGTTTTTGAGACCCAGTGCTACAAAAGGATGATGCCATCGTGGTGAAATGTACTATATCTTTGGAGTCAACTACAAATCCTGGATACATACTGTATCTTTGGATAAGTTTTTAAACCTCTCCCTTCCTGGTTCTTTATCTGTAAAGTAGGAATAATAATAGTATCTGCTTCAAAAGGATGTTTTGAGGTGTAGATAATAATATCTCTAAAGGGCTTAGGAAAGAGTTGAGTACACAGCAAGTCCTTAATAAATGCTCATCGTTATTATCACTGGAACATGGAAAGGTTGTTCTTCATACAGACAGAGCCGTGGAAGAAAACTGTGAACAGTATAGTTAATAGTAATGATCACTGTTAATGTTTCTGTGTAGATCACATGAATAAACTTCAGAATTTATTAATGAAATAATTATAGCTGCTTCTTCCCTTTACTGTTATCATTGGGAATATACAATGCAGTGACCTAGGTAACATGACAATGGATAACAACTATCTTATTTTCTCACTATTTAGTGATAATTTTACTGGAATTGTGAGTGGACTTGTTGGTGGAATTGTGGATGGTTTCTATTTTATTGACTTCCATTGGTCAAAAGAATAAATGACTCTTGCTTTGGGGATTACAGTTTATAGTGCTAAATGTAACGTATTGAACAACCATAGAGACCTTCCACATAGGGAGTGTGCATTTAATTTCTATTTACCAGGATAGCCTCTTATGTTGGTAAACGATAATAACAATAAAATGATGACTAATTTATCTCCTATACCATACCATACCTTCCTTCACCTCCTGTTTTTGGTCTTGATTTTCCAGTTCTGAATCGTGGCCAACTTTAGGTTCTACCATTTCCTCATCTTCCTCATCCTCTAGAAAAAAAGAAAGAAAAATGCATTATTTTGTTTCCTTCAAATCAAAGCCTTTAGTTGATGGTGGGAGGTAGGGGCAAAGGGTAAAGTTCCAATCATTTAGGGCAACTTCTAAGTAAATCAGTCCTCAATGAATGCCCAAGATATATGTTCATGAATATATGAATAAATTAGCTCCAAAAGGGGCCCCTTTGAAAGTCCCCCCAAGCTGCTGAGAAAACTGCAAGAGTCAGCACCTGCTAACATCCATCTCCAGGCCCTCACCACATGGGATGTCTTGGAATTGCTTTTCTGACCTCTGAAGCTTCTTCAGAGATGACCCAGGAATAGATCTCAAAATGTTTCCACCTGGGGCACATTCTCCACAGGGAACACCTGCTGTACAGACGACTCATTTCCAATTTAATTCTCACCAAATTAATTTGTTTTTGACCTACAGGAAAGGGTTAAATACAGGTCTGACCCCAGGTCAAATGCCACTGGCAAGTAAACAACCAGGGGATAGAGCCCCCAAAGTCACTGCCCTTGGCCTGGGAGAAAGCAACCAACCCCAAATGGCATTTACACATTCAGAGCAGCTCATGCATTAATGCGAATTTAATGAGCACCAACAAATGGACCAGTCTGCTACCACCACCAGATGTTACAGTGCCCTTCCTGCCCTATGCAAATGTGTGCTCATTGTGTCTGCTCTCAACCTGCCTTTCTTAGAGGCCTCTTTCATTACAGAGCGCTTGAAATCATCAGTCACAATGTGGATGACGTAGGGGAGAGTCAAGGTGTCACAAGAAAATACAATGTATAGAAATAAAATGATATAAAAAATTAAAACTTGCTTTCACAGTTTTTTAAGTATATTATCTTCTCTCCTGAGTATTATAGTCACTGGAGGTTATTGATTTCATTGGTTCAAATGGAATTTAAAAGAAATGAATTCACTTACTCCCTGCCCATATATTCATTCATATATTCATTCATCCATCAAATATTTACAGACTTTCTGTAAGATCTCAAGTGCTGTAGATAGTCCCATTTCCATGATAATAAATCCTGAGATTTACATTGACTCAAAATTTCAGCACCAACCACTTAAAGAATGCATTATAAATGCATCCCTAAATGCCCAAATAAATATCTGTAGCCTGAAAAGCAACTCCAAAAAGTCTGACTACATTAAGCAAGTGATTTGGGGGCAGAAAAGCAACTCAAAAAATTGGGATGTGTAGAGTATGGCATTGCAATTTAGATATTAAGAAATTTTTAATGTGTATATTCATTGAAACAGTACTCCAGGTGCATGTGTAGAATGTGGAACCAACCTCATTACTTTATAACCACACTATGTACATATTAGAAAGAATGTGAAACACTTTTAAGGAAAATGGTCATTTATTATTAACACATGCAATAAAGAGTTGCACTTGAGATTCTGAAAAGAACACTGAGTTACCCTGATTTTTAGACAAATAAACCTTTAAAGTTATAAACAGCACGTCTAAGTCCTTATCCATATACAAAGATATTACCACTATTTACCCATTAAAAACGTGCTTGGAAAGTCACAAACCAAAGAGTCACGTGGCCATTATGTATCCCGATCCAAAGACCTAACACGAAGCCTTAGGAGGCACCAGCTGAAGGTAAGTCTCTTCTTCTGGTAAACTTTGGATGGAGAAGCAATCTTCAAAAGACCACTAATCTGCTAGAAAGTGGCTCTATTTCTGAACCTTCTAGAGACATTTCTTTAAATTTAATGGATTTAGCAGCAATGCCCCAGACACTTACAAAATGCAAGTAAATACAACAACTACACAGGTGATAGGGTCTGTGTTATGGATGGGACCTCCCCCCCAACCCCGCAACACCCTGAACATTTGTATGTTAAAGTCTTAATCCTTAGCATCTCAGAATGTGACATATTTGGAAATAGGGTCATTGCAGATATATTTAGTTAAGACGAGATCAGACTGGAGCAGGGTGGGCACCTAATCCAATATGACTGATATCCTTATAGACACAGACTCACACACAGGGAGAATGCCATGGGAAGCTGAAGACGACTGGCGTGATGCTTCTAGCAGCTGAAGAGTGCCCAGGATTGCCAGCAAACCATCAGAAAGTAGGGAACAGGCACAGAAGAGCATCTTCCTTACAGTGCTCAGAAGGAACCAACCTTGTCAACACCTTGATCTTGGCATGCTAGCATCCAGAACTGAGACGTTAAGTTTCTACTGCTTAAACCACCAGGACTGTAGGACTTTGCTACAGCAGCCTGAGCAAACTAACACAACCCATTAAGTGCCTTCCTTTCTAGGACCCTAGAATCTGGTGGAAGAGATACAGGAGCTCTACGATAATCATACCTAAGGCAATCATGAATGCTTTACTCGTAAAATCTGATTTATTTATCAGAACTTGGTACCATCAGCCTCATTTTCTAGGTGACGAGACAAAATAATCTGCCCCAAAGAAACTCCCAACCACATCAAACTTCAAGTTCTGTCTGGTTCTGCCCGTTTTCAGATCTAGGAGCTTTAACCATCAGGTATACTATCCCCTCCCCTGCTCAGAGCCTGACATGACCTAGAAAGGCAGCCTTGGAGAAAGGCCCACAGTAAAAGCAGGTACAGTGTTAAAGCTGCAGGGTAAGGAAGGGTTTGCATAGGCTCTTCAGGGTGGATACACCATGGCCTCAAGAAGAACGGCTCTTCTACTTCCAAGAGGCAAGTACGTGTAAGGCTCAGTTGTGGAGAAGTTAGGTTTCACATCCTCGAGAGCTAGAGATGATGGGTTGTTTTATTTATTAAGAATAAATGGCTACTACATCCATGGGCGCCTGGGTGGCTCAGTTGTTAAGCGTCTGCCTTCAGCTCAGGTCATGATCCCAGGTTCCTGGGGTCGAGTCCCACATGGGGCTCCCTGCTCAGCGAGAAGCCTGCTTCTCCCTCTCCCACTCCCCCTCCTTGTGTTCCCTCTCTCACTGTGTCTCTCTCTGTCAAATAAATAAAATCTTAAAAAAATACAGTTGACTGGGCACCTGGGTGGCTCAGTCGTTACGCGTCTGCCTTGGGCTCAGGTCATGATCCCAGGTTCCTGGGATTGAGTCCCACGTGGGTCTCCCTGCTCGGCGGGAAGCCTGCTTCTACCTCTCCCACTCCCCCTACTTGTGTTCCCTCTCTCGCTGTGTCTGTGTCAAATAAATAAACTCTTTAAAAAAAAAAAAAGAATAGGGCGCCTGGGTGGCTCAGTTGGTTAAGCGACTGCCTTCGGCTCAAGTCATGATCCTGGAGTCCCGGGATCGAGTCCCGCATCGGGCTACCTGCTCAGCAGGGAGTCTGCTTCTCCCTCTCCCGCTCCCCCCTCTTGTGCTCTTTCTCTCTCTCACTCTCTCTCTCAAATAAATAAAAATAAAAATCTTTAAAAAAAAAAACACAAAAAAAAACCCCAAAAAACAAAACAAAACAAAACAAAAGAATAAATGGCTACTGCATCCAAATTCTGTTCTCATCTTTATTTCGGAATCCACTACCCCAAGACCAGACCATTGATGCCTAATATAAAGCATTAATTCCTCTGGCTAGGCAGATTCACAAGTCGGGTTGGGAGCAGCACCTCAAGGGAAGTAATTGATCTGGGTTTGAGGCTGGAGTCTACCTCTTGCTAGCCCCTTGATTTTACATAATTTGTAGAAACTCGCTAAGGCCCTGTTTCCTCATCTTCTGAATTGGGATAATAATCCTTTCTTAAAACACAATGTTGTAAGAATAACCAAATAAAATAATTGATGTGAATTTGCTTCTTAAACCAAGAAAGTTGGGGATACCCATATGCAAAAACCTTCAAACGTTGCATTAGCTTGTATATCAACCACACATTTATTGGGCACCAGGTACTGGGAATGTGAGAGGGAAAAGAGAGACAAAAAAAAAAAAAAATCTCTGTGCTCATGGAGCTTCCATCTGAGGTGAGGGAGAGAAACCACAAACAAATAAATAAAACATATATTGTATCAGATAAGTGTTATGGAAAAAGAGAAAGCCAGAAAAGGGGATTGGGCATGCTGGTAAGGGGAGGAAGAGGTGAAATTTAAAATAGAGTGGTCAGGAAAGGCCACACTGAGGTGACAATTGAGCAAAAAATTCAAGGGGTTAAGGGTAAAGATCTTTCGGAAGACTAATAATAACAGATTCTTCCATCTCATTCTGTGGATCCAAGGGGTGTAATGGGTCAAGGTTTAAATTAACTTATTATCTGTTCCACTGATGATAGAATTGTAGAAAATAATTTTGCTTTTATCATAGCCATCTGTTTGTACATTCTCATCCTCTAGTTCTTTTTTTTTTTTTTTAAGATTTTATTTATTCATTTGAGACACAGAGATACAGAGAATGAGCATGAGCGGGGGGGGGGGGGAGGCAGAGGGAGAGGGAGAAGCAGGCTCCCCGCTAAGCCAGGAGCCCGACGTGGGGCTTGATCCCAAGACCCTGGAATCATGACCTGAGCCGAAGGCAGACGCTTAACCATCTGAGCCACCCAGGCACCCCTCTCATCCTCTAGTTCTTAAATGAAGTCGATTTCTTTATTTCGGAATTAGTCAGCTTTAAATAGTATCAAGTTCTCACCTTTTACAGATAAAAGAGTTTTTATTTTAGATATTAATTCCTGGAAGAGTCAAAATGCAACATCCTGACAGAAAGTAGTCTATAAGGGGCACCTGGGTGGCTCAGTTAGTTAAGCACCAGACTCTTGATTCCGGCTCAGGTCACAGCTCAGTGTCAGGGGATCGAGCCACGTGTTCGCCTCCATGCTCAACTCGGGCTCCAAGCTTAACGGGGAGTCTACTGGAGATTCTCTCTCTCCCTCTGCCTCTGACCCTCCCCCCCCAAATAAATAAATAAAAAAAATCTTAAAAAAAAGAAAATAGTCTATAAGGGCTTGGCTAAACCCAGGGCTAGGTTGGGGACAGCAATGTGTTGTTTTATACATGAAGTATGCGGGAA